AAGGAAATTGAACATAGAATAGTTTGCGCTAGATATAGTTCTACCCAACATCGAAAAGACATTAACCTGACCACTTGAATCATGCTCTGAAATAGCCATGTGAGATCGATACATTCACATAGATGATGCCCAAGCCGTTCAGAAATATCTAAACTATCAAATATATATTTTGTGACGTACGGTGGCCGTTAATAATTAAGTGTAACTCAGGAGTTCAATGTTAAAATAAAACAGTATTTAATTACAACCGCAAATAAATACTTAACAAGAACAAAGAAGTAAAATTCAACCAAAGATAATTAACCATTTCAGTGAATAACTTGTTAGTAGCGCAGCTCGTCTTAACATCCGATAAATCTTAAATCAAAACTAAAATCATCCACGCACAATAATTCATACTAATTCGACTGGATAGTTCCGCTCAATAGTCACTCAATAATCACCCCAGTCAGTAGCCTGACACCACTATTTATACACCTGGCGGAAAACATATATTCCTAAGTCCAGAGTGTCACGTTCGAACCTCGGTGTCGGTAGTTACTCATTTTCTTTCTCTATGACAATATTCAACCGTTTTCTCTGAATAATGATTAAAATTGTCTTCAAGCGAATGAATCCTGCAGGTGTTAGTAAGGACCATCCTCCTTCAAATATCGTTGAATGGGGATACAGAATCACAAAAAAAAAACTATACCAAATGACAGAAAAAACTTGAAGATTTTCAACAGAAACAACTAAGATGGATTTCATATGTAACTCAAGGAGACAATAATGACATAATGAAGTTGTTAACACTACTTCAAACAAAAGATTAGGAGGGAACCTGCCACCCACACTGGAAAGAGCAATAACAGTGGACATGGCAATCTTATTTTCCTGAAAAAGTGTTTTAATAATTTTTTTGACAGAGTCAAAAAATAAAGAAGAAAAAATAAAGAGATGTCAAAAGAAAGAAATAATAAAGAACGAAAGAGTACAAAGTAAAAAAAAAGATGTAATAAGAAGAAAAGGAAGAAATGCTGAAAAAAGAAAGAAAGAAGGAAAGAAAGAAAGAAAGAAAGAAAGAAAGAAATGAAATGAAATGAATAAATAAAGAAGGAAAGTAAAAGAAAGAAAGTAAGAAAGAAAGAAAGATAGTTCGGTCAAAAATACCGGATGTTTCCATGCAAGGAAACAGCTATTACAATAACCAATTGCTGATTCTATTTCTCTTCAGCGTTGCGTCAGCCAGTAACCATAAGATAACTTTTTGATTTTTCTTTAAATACCGTGCTGAAGATTTTGAAAAAAAAAATATATATATAATAACCTTAGTGTGTGAGTAAAGCTTTCTTTTTTATTCTTTACCAATGACAAACAAAGAAGATACTAGTCTAACTATGCAAATTCGTTTGCAATGGAAATAGATTTTAAAAAACCTTTGGAGATGGTTACTTGAAAGAAAGCATTTTTTAGCAAGAGAAACGAAACCTGGCTTCAACCAAAGTGCCGTCAGTTTCAAAGAAACATGACTTCGGTAAGAAAACTGTCATGGAATAGAAACCTGGCTACAATATAAGGGCGCTAAATTTCATGGAAACATTGCTCCAAAAACAGAGAACTATGAAACACTCAGAGTAGAGCTGTTAATTTAAAGGAAACCTGCCTCTAACAAGAGAGTCTTCAGTTGAAAGAAAAACTGGACACTGACAAGCGTTATCGAATGCAAAGGAACATGGTTCCAACAAGAAATTTTTCAATTGAAAGAAAACTTGATTCCAACAAAGGCTATCAACTGAAAAGAAAAATGGCTACAGCAAGAAAGCTGTAAATTGAAAGGAAACAGTCACAAGAAGAATGTTTTCAACTGAAATAAAATATGGCTCCAACAAGATAATTGTTGAAACAGTAGAAAGGATTATAAAACTCCTTTGGCAAGTAAATCCAACATAGAAGGTGACAAATCAAATTGGTTATTGCTAACTATCAGTGTGTAAAATTTTGATGCAAGTATAAAACAAAATGGAAAGCTGATAAAAGGAAAACATACGGATGTATCAGGGACGGCATCGTAACATAGGAGAGAAAGCTGAAAGCTGTGAGGGAAAGTCATAAATTATCCGCACTCTTATATAAAGACATGTTATGACGAAAATGCGAATAATTTTTCATTTACCATCTGATATGCCATGGACTCACATCGTGAGTATCAGATTCTCCAGGTCCTCATTATGTGTCCCAGAAACTTCATCTGCCTCTTTTATTGAAATTATTACGGAGTCGCTAACTGGGTGCCCTGTGATTAGATGAAAAACAACTAATCACAGGCTACCTTTTTAGATTTTCCCCAAACCCCCACGAGAGCGGTTTTACAAACTCTCTTCCCCTTTTGCTTGTTGGACCCTCGGAGACAACACATTCCCCGTCTGCACTCTGTCATCTAAACACCAGGGCACGTGTGTGGACTTAGCAACTGAAGCACAGAAGTCAAGACTCTATTTTCTTCAACCCAGCCAAAACGGCACAGGAAATATAAAACTGTTAAAAGGACGCATCTTTCAGATAAGTTCCGCAAACCCGACTGTTTGCAATGTAAACTTTCCTCTCTTTTCCTACAAATACAAGTTTTTTCAAACATTTTCATCTCTGTTTGTGTTCCTTTCTTCTTGCCGGCGTCACAATATTTTTGTTACCAAATATAATTGGGAAAATCCCAATACTTTCTGATGTATTTGTATTTGTATAAGCCTTTTCCTTGTTTGTAACCTCTCTAAGACCTCATCGTTGCTCACATGCTCGGTCCATGATATCCTTACCATCCTTACTTTCATGGTAACTGTTCAGTTAAACTCTTTGCTATGGTACCTAGACTTTTTTTTTTTAATTTAACCTCAATACTAGACAGGCGTCAAGATTTCATCAATTTACAGGCTAGATGTAACCGTAATTTATACTCAAACACTTCCTTTTCCCCGCACTTTCCGCTTGTGAAACTAACTTCCGGCTCCATGCTTTCCAGCCTGCTTTAATCTTAAAAAATTTAAATGCAATGACAATTGCTATTAATGGAGATTTAAATTCGTAAAAATATTTGTTCTATTTAATATTGTTCTAAGAAGTGAATTATTATTTTTAACTATGTTTGGATCTTTTAGATTTTTTGTAATAAATAGTCTAAATTTTGTCATTGTCAACTTTTACTCGTAAAGACTCTTGCCATCTTAATTTCTCTAGTGAATGCCCCTTAGATGTAAAATAGGTGTTATTAAACATTTCCTCAAGAGAGCGCACGAGAATTCATCCGCTCGTACGCTTTTCTTTAAATAACGTAAAACAAACGTTTATTAATATCGGATTTCCTAATCAATTGTTGGATTCCCATATTAGGCATTTTCTGTCTAAGGTAGCTAGGAGCAACGACGAGAATAGAAATAAAAACAATAACATTAATATTTCATATAAAAATCAAATGAATGAAAATTAATAACAAGACGAAACTAGAATTAAGAATATTATTAAAAAAATGGACAACAATAATTGACAATAATCAAAAAATTAGACTAATTATTTATTACAAAAAATTTAAAAACTCCAACGTTATAGTTAAAAATAATAATAAATAGAACAAAATTAAATAGGCCAAATATTATTTACGAATTTAAATATCGACTGAGGAATTGTATTGCGGATCAATCAAACAATTTTATAGGCCGTATTACAATAGGTTTGACACAAATACTTACTCTACACCTTTCTGACCATAGCTCAATTAGGTTTCATTTAAATATTCATGAAAACCTACTGGACTCTATTCGTAAAATACCTTTTGACAACACAAATATAACAGCATCGCTACATGTAAAAATGCTAAAAATAATGGAAGCCTTATGAATAAAGACAAAAAACATCACTCAATAATATCAATTATGAACATGGACACAATATCATGACCGTGTTTTGAAAATGAAAACATTATATAAATACATGCATGCAGCAGTCTGTTTCTTGTTAAGTGTTGATATATTTCAACCTTGAAAATAACTAAATGTATAGCCGAAAGCACTCGGAAAGAAAGAACAGACAGTTTTTTTCTATAATTTATCCTCCGAAAAGAAAAAAAATCATAAGATCACATAAGAACTTGTATAAAAACTAAATCAAAGCACCTTTGTCTGTCGTATTCAATAAAACATATATATATATATATATATATATATATATATATATATATATTATTTATTTAAAAATATGATTCCAAATCGCTACATAAGAGGTCTCATGTTTCAAAACAAGAGCCGAAAACTTCAATATAATCCTTTAAATTAAATTGAGTTGAAATTAAAAAGGGCTCCGTTCCATCTTCAAGCGAAATTTTTGTTGGAATAACGTATATCTGAAATTTACTTGTTTTAATAATTGAAATCAAAATGACCATGGAAACAGCTGGGGCGAATTGTCTAAACTGGGTAGGCGAGTGTAGGGTGTTAATGATATGTAGCAGTATAGAGAGATTATTTTCTATATATCTTCACAGAATATATATATATATATATATATATATATATATGAAGAAATATAGTCTTAAGATGTGCTATATTTATGGGATAAAATGCTCAATATTAGATATAGATATAAAAGTGAACATAGAAGTCAACACTTAGAGACGACAGGGTGGCCTGACGATTGCATCTAGCATAAGACAGACTGTCGCCTCTACGTGTTGATTTCTATGTTCACTTTCATATATATATAAAAAAACAGGCTGTTGCCTCTACGTGTTGACTTCTATGTTCACTTTCATATATATATATATATATATATATATATATATATATATATATATATATATATATATAACGGCGGATTGTAACTTTAATGTCCTTTTCTTCTTGTTTATAATTAAGATGCATCTTGTTTTTATCAGTTTAGCTGTATTATTGAGGGTGGGATTTATATATCTATGTTTATGTGTGTAATTGCTTGCATAATGTATTATCAACTGTTTAAAATTATTTACATAGACTTTAAATTACTTGATGAACTGTTGGCATCAAAAAAGAAATCATACATTGTGTCTGGGCGTCCGGCATCCAACTGCGAATTTCCTTCCATTGTTTCTCTGAGCATCACAAAGAACGGTAAAGGATATCTGTGTGGCGGTACCCTCATTGATGCGACCCATGTTATCACCGCTGCTCATTGCGTGTAAGTTCGATTTGGTTTTATTAGTGAATTAAAAGTTCAGAAATCTTTGTTGTAGCCAATTCGTTAGTGAAAAAAAAACAAAAAAACAAAAAAAACAATTTCCTAAACGAGTAAAACAAACCAATCCCATGATTACGGTCCTTTGCAAAATTTCGAGTTTGCATTCATTTCGAAACTTTATGCAATTTATTTAATACTAGCAGCATGGCCCGGCGTTGCCCGTGCTTGATTCAAAAATCGTACGACACATACAGCAATCGCTATCACTTGACTTAAAATATTTTTGTCCTTCCTTGCCTTTAAAAAAGTGCCCTTTTCCTTGCTGATGTTGCTACATGCCTTACTTCTTGCCTATCTCAAACTGCGATTTTTTTCTAAGCTCTATACTAAACATTAAATCTGTTACGAAAAAAGAACTAAACAAGATGAACACAAAACGATCAGCTTTAAAAAAAGGACTCGTAACTGGAAAAAACCGAATGAAAAAAAGAATGTTAACAACAAATACTTTTTCACACCTAACCCAGTTCTGCGGAATCAGAATCAACATTTAAGCAAGTGAATAAGCCAATTGGAGTAAAGTGCCATGCAGATTTAGATTATTCCCACTTGTAACGAATGCAGCTATCGATATTTTTGTATGCTAGCATGCTAGTTAACATTCGTGTCAGTCAGTCACGCTGGCCAATAGAATCTTCCTGCCTATTCGTGGCAGCCAGCTATAGGCTCTCACTCTGGGCAGTAGAAAATGGCCGCAAACTACATGAAAACTGCCGTAGAAGCATGAAAAAATCGATTATTTCCACTATCGATGAGATAGATAAATGCAAAGTCGGCCTTAGCCTTCCCGCTTACTAGGAGCATGTGCATGTAAATTTTGGTGCAAATCTGTCGAAAATTGCGGCCGTGCACTCGTTACACACACACATCCTGCATTTTATAGATAGAGATTGTTTTTTTTTTGTAATAATCAGCTGTTTTCTGACTACTCATAGCGGGAAACATAGTCATTTCTCACTTATCGACCGGAATTGCTTCAAACGACATCTTTGCGCAAGGAATTGGTCGCTAAGTGAGATCCGATACCTGAACGATATTTCAGGCATACTACCGGTGTAATGGGTTTGTTTCAACCAGGTTTGGAAAGTGTTAGTGTTACTTTCGCGCCATTTGTAATATTTCTAATTTATATCTAAATGTTTATATAGTAGTGTAGTGTAGTACAGTCAATACAATAACCAAAGTCGAAAAACAGCTCTCTGGTCTGTCAGTTATTTCAGTTTGTATCCTGTAAATACAGTACTAATCAGTTTTTAATCATTTTTCACTTTATTCATTTCATTTATTTTAATTCATTTTGAAGAAATGAAAAACATTCAGGAACAAAGTTTTCATATAACGTACAATACCGACTGGTTGAATTTTATAATTTCAAAAATTTATCTTATCAAAATTTTGATATTTTATTATCATTATTATTATTATTGGTAAATATTTTATCATTCATAATTTTATTATTCAAAATGTTATTTCTTTCTGAAATTTTAAGTCCGGAGTTTGTTAAATGTTTAACGATCACCAGATTTAAAATCCGTTAAATGGTTGGAATACGATTTACTTCTAAATATTTTTATGACAGTTAATACTGATTAGATTTTAAAATTGAAGGTTTGCGTGATGTTTTCAAGTCGGAGGTTGCTGCCTGAGTAGAAAATCTGCATTCAACAATATTTTTTATCAGGATTCGAACATTGAACTCTTAATAAGTACTCCGTCTCAGGCCACTTCTATAAATACAGATTTTGAATGAAGTTTCAACGAGACAATGTATTATTTATATTTACATTAGAACATAATTAGTTTAAATATGAACTCTGCTTCGAATCAGGCATATTGTCTTCTACACTGGTTACATATATTTATATTAGTGATATTTATATAACGAGTACAGATTCCTTAGTAGAGAACATATTACAATACCAACAATCTGTAAAACTATTAAATGCACTCCTCATTTAACGACCGGATTCCGGACCTAAGAGCTGGTCGGTAAGTGAGTGTTATACCGGAACGCTATTTCCGGCTTACTAAACTGAAACGAGTGAAAAGAGGAAGATGAAATTTATGTCCGGCCTATAGTAGTCCTAACACAGTGACACCTAACGGGCGTCTTGGTAGTCTATATAGAAGTAATCCCTATTTATGGTATGTGTATGTCTTTTTCGTTCATTTTTTAAATACGTCTGCTTTTATAGTATTGAAAGAATAAACTTTTTAATGGTATTTTGGAATGTGCTTCATGATAGAAATGCAAACACACAAGAAAGTTTATGTATTTCTTTATTTTGGAGTCCCAAGTTTAATTTGACGCTTGCAACTTCATAGAATACGATGAATCAAGAAAAGATAACTGCTCCATGATTATCAAAGGCAATCTTTTTTTTTCTTTTAGTGCAAGTGGTGTGACAAGGATCAATGTCTTCATGGGATCTATTTACAACAGAATTCCTAAATTTGTAGACGCAGTCAGCAAAATCGCTGTTCACCCAAGTTTTTATGTAACTTCCAAATCTCTGCGTAAGTATTATTATTATTATTATTATTATTATTATTATTATTATTATTATTAATTCTTTTGATTTCTGTAGTATACACATTTCCCTTCCTGGTCCAAAACAGAGACCTAAGATCCGAAATGGGATCATGACTTTGTCTACTGAGCATTTTTGTAAAAAATAAAATAAAACTCGGAATTTCCATATTTTGGATTTTGTTAGAACTTCTCTTATATTATTCTTGATTTTTATTATTATCATTATTATTATAATTATTATTATTACTCTTCTTGTTGTTTTGATTTCTAGTCTGTACTCATTTTTTCCGGGTACAAAAGTTAAAAGTGGCATGATAACATTTTCCACCGAGCAATTAAAAAAAAAGTATAATTTACACAGATAAAGCCCTTCGTAATATTTTGGGCTGTACTCGTGAGAACAACATTTTGTATTTCTTTACGTCATGGGCTTCCAGGAATTCATTTTATACGTCTATTGAATCTTTTTCCAACCAATCCTAGGGCTCCAACTACAACAGGGATTGGTGATGTTCTCATGTGACATATTTTTGAGATTTTGATTTGAAGGTCCTTGTATTTTGACAGCTTTTTGAAGATTTTCAAAGATACACTGATGTCTGCAGGGAATGTCATATCAATAAGGAGGTACATTTTTTGTTTGTGGTCTCTGTGTCAGGGCGCATTGTTGTTGTTGCTGTTGTTGTTGTTATTATTATTATTATTATTATTATTGCTGGTATTGTTTTAGCTTTGTGTTGTGCAGTACAAATTGCCCCAAATTCTCAATCAGAGACATTTTTAGTGTTAAATATTTTTTTTTACTATTGTTTACCACTACAAGGCCCAAGAGTCACTCTAGGGAATGTTTACTGAACATGTTTGTTGCAAGGAAATAACCGTTTCACAAAATCGCGTTTCTTAAGAAGAGATTGTGAGAATGGAATTTCCTCCTCATCAATGGAAAACGAAGTGAATAACGAAGATTCGACTCCATGTTTATGATATGAGGCTTGTTTTGTTTTGTTTTACGGCATATCAACCTCAGTGGATTATCTAATGCCGACAAGATTTTTATTGTTGGTAATATTTTTTTTCAAAAAATATATTGCTGGTAATATATTTTTCCTCAAAAATGTATTACTGGTAATATTTTTTCCTTCAAAAATGTATTACTGGTAATATTTTTTCCTTCAAATATGTGTTACTGGTAATAATTATCTACAATAATGTTTTGCTGATTATATTTTTTCCTCAAAAATGTATTCTTGGTTATATTTTTTTCTTCAAAAATGTATTGTTGGTAATAATTTTTCCTGAACAGAGGATGTAGTTTATCGTCTTACCCAGGACGCGGATGTAGTTTATCGTCATACCCAACAATCGGCCTATTAGCTTTCTACCTCGTTTTGAGAAACTCCTAGAGGCCCTAATCAAGGTTAAGAATTTCTCATAGCAGAAACCAATATGACTTTCGTTTCTCCAGGTCAATTGATGCTGATGTACTGACGATAATTGCGGAAAGAGACTGTCATGCTCTAGATAAACACGATGAAGCACGGGCTGTAACTTTGGAGATCTCCAAAGCTTCGACAGGGTTTGGCATATAAGTCTTATCCCCAAGTTGAAGCGTTACGGTGTCCGCGGACAAATTTTTGAATTGATCCAGTCTTTCCTATCAAATCGTGAAAGGAAAATTATTCTGAAGTGCCACTCGTCTAGTTCTTTTCGTACTAATTCGGGTGTTCCCCAGGGGTATATCATTGTTCCTACTTTGATTTTAATTTTCATTAATGACCTTCCCGATGACATCAGCTCACAACGGTATATACGCTGATAAGATAACCTTTTACTTCTGTCTCGGTAGTAAATCTAATCAATTCTCTAAGGTCAGACAATGTAAAAAAAAAATCCTTGAAACTGTTGTTAATTGGTTGTTGTGGATTCCGAGATGAATTCGGTCTCCAATGAAGGACAAACGCAATAATTAAATATAAGAAATAAAATGTATCTATACAATCATACAAAAAGTAATATTGTTAGTAAGTCCAGGAACGAGGTTAGTAGCAAATACAGATAGATATATACAGTCCCGAAGTACGACTTCCTTAGAGTCTACGTACTTGTAACTGACGTCTTCAAGAGGTTACCTCACACTATCTCCGTTCGTATATTCTCTCTCCCTCCGTATATCCTCCCTCACTCTCTGTCTAACTCTGGGTATTTAACGGCAGCACTCCAAGTACACTGGTAGATTCCACATATGAAAAAGGGGTGGACCCCATAACATTGGTGTAAAAGATGGCTTGTTAATTATTTACTAAATTTATCTACATTAATATCCTGAGAGACCCCTCTCTGCCTTCCATCAGCATGTCTGATGCTAATCTCCAGGATAATAACTTGTTCAGACTTCTCGGGCTAACATTCTCGGTCGACATGAAGTGGAAAGACTACAGTGAATCCATTGCTAGGTCAGCCCCTAAGGAAGTTGACTCACTATTTCGTGCGAGACAATTTTCCTCTCCTGAATTTATAATACATATCTATACGTCTACCATTCGTCTATGCTTAGAATACTGCTGCCAAAATATACATTCTTCTGGGCTCAGAGAGTTTACTGATCATTCTAAGGCCGATACTGCTCACTAGCTTATCGGAAAACAGGGTATATTGCGGACAGGTTCTATACATTTGGGGAAACATTTCTTCTTCAGATTGTGGTTAAACACCTCTATCAAGGATTGGAAATTATTCTACGCTGACGTTCTTAAGCACAACCAGAGGGCTGCAGCCAAATGGCGCCAAGCAGTCAGAAGGAATGAAGTATGTAATTATGGTTACTAAACAGATAATCTAATGGGAGGTAATCAAGATGCGAGAAATACCTATGAGAATGATGTAAAAAATTTACAAGTTTCAGAGATACCAGGAAATTGATCCACATATCTGTTTGCTTCTCTTGATATCTTAGTAAGAACTGACATGCTTTGAAGTAATCCATATGCTAGGCTGCAAAAATCTCCTAGGTCGACGAAGCGTATAGTGATGAATACGAAATTGAAGAAATAGTACTAGAGAAAATCAACAATATCAAAAGAAAAATGTAATATGAGCTCTGGTAAAAAAAAAAAAAAAAAACAGGTGCTCAGACAGTAAGTTTATAAGTCCCCAAAATTCATTCACTGATGACCCCAGTGGATAAAAACGTTAGTTGAAGTAATCAAGTTACTGTGAGCTGTGAGTTCAATACCTGAACTAAAAACGTGGAGAGTTGAGTTACTAAAGGGAGATAACTGAAACTGTGATTACAGATAATGTATGACACGTAGAACTAGTACAATCTACCCCCTATAGACGAAATAAAGGGACCGGTTCCAAATTCCATCGTATAAAATCTGAAGAAGGCCCGAGCGTACAACGATTGAAACGCCGCGAATATGACAATAAAATGAGAACAACAGTCGGAACAATGCAAATAGCTTTATTTTATCTCATTATTTATGTTGTTTTTTTTTTACTATTATTTTATTACACGTTTCACTTCATTTTATTTTTATCGCAACGCACTTAGCCGATTGTTATTTAATAACGAACTTATTTTGTTACTACTTAATGAAATAAAGAATTATCAGGACAAATTTTAATAATCATTTATATTTTTTTTCCTGAACAGACAATGACATTGCGATGCTTACATTGTACAAACCAGTTCCGTTTACAAATTGTATAAAGCCTATGGATTTAGCAAGTCCTGGTGCCTCATTTACAGGCCAAACTTGTGTCACTGCTGGATGGGGAAAAACATCGTGTGAGTTGAAATATTTATTTGTTTGCCTATCTTTAAAACTGTTTTTCTTTTATAGAATGTTTATCGGAATTTAAATTATATCATGATGTTCGGAAAATAATTCTGTTTTAAATATGAAAACATATATAAGTTAAATATTATTTGTCGAAAATATAATCGCCTTCATATTCTACGGCTGCAGCCAAACGATCGAGAAAATCTAAGATTAAAGAAACCTGTGTTCGAAAGAAGATATTACAGCCTCTTAACTTCTGAATGTTCTACGAAATATGAAATATTTTAGGGATAAAAAAAAATGAAAATCTGTAATCTGATGAGTGTGAAGGCTATGAGAGCAATTCCTGTCATTAAGTATATCTTTGTTCTTGGCTCTGTTTGCAGACGGTTCCTTACACTGTCATGGTTGAGAATAAAACATTTGCTTTTTTCTTATCAAAATATGACAATTTCGACGTAATGTTTCGTTTAGTCGATCAGGTTGTTTGCAATAAATGTCTGCAGTGATGGTTCTTTCCATGTTCCATAAACTCGTAATGGATGACACATTTCATATTCCATTAGGAATAAGGCGAGGACATCTGAGGATGGAGTTAATGTTTTTGGTGTTAAATCTGCTTTATTATTTTGGGAAAAATACTGTCTTGCAAAACCCACTTTTCACCACCTGTAACTGTTGATGTGCAAAACCCACTTTTCACCACCTGTAACTGTTGATGTGCAAAACCCACTTTTCACCACCTGTAACTGTTGATGTGCAAAACCCACTTTTCACCACCTGTAACTGTTGATGTGCAAAACCCACTTTTCACCACCTGTAACTGTTGATGTGCAAAACCCACTTTTCACCACCTGTAACTGTTGATGTGCAAAACCCACTTTTCACCACCTGTAACTGTTGATGTGCAAAACCCACTTTTCACCACCTGTAACTGTTGATGTGCAAAACCCACTTTTCACCACCTGTAACTGTTGATGTGCAAAACCCACTTTTCATCACCTGTAACTGTTGATGTGCAAAACCCACTTTTCACCACCTGTAACTGTTGATGTGCAAAACCCACTTTTCACCACCTGTAACTGTTGATGTGCAAAACCCACTTTTCATCCCCTGTAACAATGGGAGGAACAGATGATTGGTTTGGTTTGGTTTGGTTAGTTTTGCGGCATATAAATCTCAATGGGTTATTTAATGCCGAAAAGATTTTTATTGCTGGTAATATTTTTTCCAGAAATGTATTGCTGGTAGTATTTCTTTTTCAGAAATCTATTGCTGCTAATATTTTTCCAGCAATGTATTACTGGTAGTATTTCTTTTTCAGAAATCTATTGCTCGTAATATTTTTCCAGAAATGTATTGCTGGTAGTATTTCTTTTTTCAGAAATCTATTGCTGGTAATATTTTTCCAGAAATATATTGCTGGTAATAATGTGTAGCTGATAATATTTTCTTCAAAAATTCAAAACTGGTAATAAAACCTATTTTTACACGTTTTGTTCCCAGTTTGATTTTAACTATTTGCCCATAGCTAGGACCCTAACAGGTGCTACCACCCGGAGCTAGAGTGGACCTGGAAACACCAGTAATTAACAGGTGGCATCACGCACCTAAAAACCTCCTGATCAGAGGCCTTAGTGTTAGATGTAGTTTATCATCATACCCAAGACGAGGAACAGATGAAAGTTTGATGTTATTGCTTAAAAAAAAAACCCAAAAAAAAAACATGCTCATGGTGGAAATTTGTTTTGGTTCTGTAGTAAAAGATCACGAGAAACCAAAATTCTCTCTTTGACACTTTTTTTCTTTTTTCTTTGTGTTGGTGGTGGACATTTCAACATGGCATATGAAGTTTTTATCCCAAATCTCTTGTGCATTGACGAGGATCCAATTCAATATTTTCAGAATTACACTATTTAAATTATTCGGACCATTTTACTCATCTGTATCACCATATTTAATACAACGTTTCGGCCGTTGTACGCTCCGACCTTCTTCAGGTGGTTGGAATGTCGAAGTGAACCCATATTTCGCTCGCTGGGGTAGACTGTTCTACTTCCACGTGAAATAAATAAAAGGGTTTAGTTTGACATTCCAACCACCTGAAGAAGGCCGGAGATTACATCGTCCGAAACGTTGTAATAAATATGGCGACAAAGATGAATACAGTAGTCCGAATAATGTAAATAGTGTACATAATACCTCATCTCAGAAATATAGACAGATACTGAAAGGCCGATACGTTGTAATAAATATAGCGACAAAGATGAGGACAATAGTCCGAATAATGTAAATAGTGTAAATAACACCTCATCTCAGATATATAGACAGATACTGAAAGGCTGAAACGTTGTAATAAATATGGCGACAAAGATGAGGACAATAGTCCGAATAATGTAAATAGTGTACATAATACCTCATCTCAGAAATGTAGACAGATACTGAAGAGTCGAAACGTTGTAATAAATATGGCGACAAAGATGAGGACAATAGTCCGAATAATGTAAATAGTGTACATAGTACCTCATCTCAGAAATATAGACAGATACTGAAAGGCCGAAACGTTGTAATAAATATGGCGACAAAGATGAGGACAATAGTCCGAATAATGTAAATAATGTACATAATACCTCATCTCAGAAATATAGACAGATACTGAAACGCCGAAACGTTGTAATAAATATGGTGAGAAAGATTAGTACAATAGTCCGAATAATGTAAATAGTGTACATCGCAAAATACCATCGAATGCTTAAAGGTGGTCATCAGTGATGAAAGCCGTCTTCATCGCTGATTTCGGGGTTCTTATTCATCATATCAGCTCCGACAGCCAACCCCGACCTGTTATTTTATCCTACAGGTCGCCACCGTGTAAAGAATTGTGCTAGTGCTCATGACAGAATTTATACATTCTGCTCTTTAAAAAAAATAAAAATAAAAATGAAATAAATTAAAATAAAAAATAAAAACCAACGGGAGCGTCTAAAATTGCTTGCCCAATTAAAATATTAACGACATATTTAGCTGTTCACTAAAATGGGGGCGTCTTTCTTTTTTTTTGTTTTTTTTTTTCCTCTTCTTTTTTTAGTCTTCTCCTTTTTTTCCCTCTCCTTTTTTTTCTTTCCCCCTTTCCTCCTTCCAAACTGAATTATATAATTGCTTGCTTCGCACCAATTAAAAAAGGTAATCTTTTTTCCAAAACTAACTTATACCACTTAATTAAAAAGTTCTTATTATCGTATGGAATGGATTGATTTTACGTATTTACAGTTAAAATATATCAATGGTACCGGGAGGGATGGATGGAATATTAAATTAAACTGTATAGGGATGGATGAAATATTGATTTGAAATAAATTAACAATTTATATGGTAGAAACGAATTAATTCTAAATTATAACGTTTAAAATAAATTGACGGTATTGTGGCGTATGGTATAAATGAACTTTATTAATGTTAATTTGTGTGGATTGATTTTAAATTATGTTACATTAAAGTATAATAACATTATCGTATGAAAGGGATAACTTCTAAATTATAAGCTCCAGTACCTGAACAATATCGGATGTTAAGTTACACTATTTTCTGTTTCATGACAAAAAAAAAATATCGAGAGTTTGTGAGTTAATTTAACTAAAAACCTACAAAAAACCTATTTGTTCGCAAGCAATGTAAATCCAGATAAATTTTATCAATACTGTGGGGTGATTTTGTCTCTAGCTTTTTAGGGATTGTTTTCCATTGAATTATTCCCCCACTGCTCGGATCCTTTAAGCCATATCCATTTAGAAGCCGTCAGAGCTTCATTTGAAATTTTCTTAACGGCTTTGGCTTTAGCTGATCCCACTATCCCTATTTTCCTAAAAGCTTTGCATAATGACTGGCCTGCAAAGCCACGACATCCTACTTCTACAGAGTCATATGTGACCTTCCAGGAATTTTGTTGACACTTTTCGATCAATTCTTGATATTTTGATCGTTTCCTTTCGTTTGCTAATGTCAGGTATTCTTCCCAGGGAACTGTGAGCTCCCATATTATACAGTGTTTGGTGGAGTTGGAATAGATAATCAAGTCTGGTCTTAGTGATGTTTCCGCTATATGTCTGGGGAACTTTAGTTGTGTCTTCACGTCTGTCTCCAAATGTCAATCATTTGCTGACGATAACAAGTTTGTTTTGGGGATCGTTTGTTTTTCCTTCTTTGTTCCCTCTTTAACGAAGGGAATTAATATGAACTTCTTATTCGGTTTGTATTTAAAAGTTCTCACTGCTTCACTGACTTCATGTGCTATTGCCTTTAGGACTTGATCGTGGCGCCAACGGTATCTGCCGTCACTCAAGGCTTTAGCGCAGGTACTTAGGATATGTTGCAGTGAAGCGCGTTTCCCACATAATTGGCAATTTGGGGTATCCCTTTTGCCCCATAAATATAAGTTGGATGGGCTAGGTAGCACATCGTATACCGATTTTATTAGGAAACTTATTTCACCAATGTTTGACCGCCAGTAGTCTGACCAGCTGATCTTTTTCTGTTCGACACCCTGCCATTTTGTCCATGCTCCCTGTGTACTAAGTCCCACCATCTTGCAGTATCTCGTTTCTTCAATCCCTGCTCGACCTTCTTGGATTAATTGACGTTTTTCTTTCTCTTTGGCTCTGTTTATTTGGGGACAAGGAAAATAACCGAGACTCGCTCTACCTTTAGCGATAGTGCCAAGAATTTCTCTATGCCGTAATCTATCCTCTGCTATCTCCAACTCCTTTTCTGCACGCCATTTTCTCCCCGTTCGGGATTGAATACATGCTGCTACCACTTTTGGGTCTTTTGATTCTTTATATTGCAGCTGTTCTCTTACTCTTGTAACTTTAAACTCCTCAACAAGACTATTGAAAGGAAGCTGAAGAGCATTAATCCTGCCGTAGAGTGCTGCTGTGCTCAGACACTTCGGAACTCCCAACCATCTTCTCAGGCGCCTAGTTATTAATTTCTCTAATGATTCTACACTGGTCATTGGGAATTCGTACATCAAAAGTGGCCATAATATTCTGGGTAAAACGGCGTGCTGGAATAACCAGGCTTTAAATCGACCTGGTAAGCCTGATTTATCAATCTTATTGAGCCACTGTGTGAGGTCTTTAGTTGTCTGTTCAATAGCCACAGTGTCTCTTAGACTGCCGTGAAAAAACTTAGCCAGGCTCTTAACAGGTTTTTCATTTAGGGTTGGGATAGTTGCACCGGATATTTTAAAATGATATTTCTCCGTTATTTTTCCTTTTTTAATGACTAATGATCGGGACTTAGCTGGCTTAAAAGTCATTCGGGCCCATGTAATGTTTTTCTCTAAGCCTTTCAAGAGCCATCTTCCTCCTGTTACGGATGTGCATGTTACGGTTAGATCGTCCATGTATGCTCTAATGGGGGGGGCGATTTCCTGATTTAGAGAGGGGGCCTCTACACTCTACTTGACCAGCATATTCATAGCCAGCGAGAACAGTACTGCGGACAGCGTGCACCCCGTGATGATGCCTTTCTCCAGGGTGTGCCATTCCGATACTATTCATGCCGATACTCTAAACTGAAAGTTGTTATAACAGTCTGAAATTAGACCACTAATTGAAGAGGGAACGTGATGCCTTTTTAGAGCTTCTTCCACGAGTTTATGAGGTATGGAACCATACGCATTGGCATGGTCTAACCACAGTACTGTCAGATCGCTTTTCTTTTCTCTCGCATCTCTTATCATCTGCGTAAGTACGCCTGTGTGTTCCAGGCACCCTGGCATTCCTGGGATACCACCTTTCTGGACAGATTTATCGATGTAATTGTTCGCCAATACGTATTTAGTAATACGTCTTGCTAATACACCAAAAAAAAAACTTACCTTCGGTGTTCAAGAGGGATATTACTCTAAATTGGTCCAATGTTGTGGACTTCTCTTCCTTGGGAATCCATGCCCCTTCTGCGTGTCTCCATTGTTCGACTACCTTGCCTTTCCTCCAAATGATCCTTAATAATTTCCATGATTTCCGGAGAATCCCTCCACATCTTTTATAGACTGTGTACGGCACTCCGCTCGGCCCTGGTGCTGAAGCAGATCTTGATCCTCTCACCACTACTTGGATTTCTTTCCAAGTGGGCATGCTTAAATCAAATAGACTTACTGGCGGTTTTTGTGTTATGAGACTATCGTTCTTATAAAGGTCTTGTTCCTTTAATGGATCTTTCATGGATTCCCTGAGAAAAGTATTAATTTCTTCTGCAGATGCCTCTAGTTGTCCGTTCCGATTCTCTCCTAATAACTTCTTAGCAAAACCGAATGGGTTAGACAAGAAGCTTGCTCGCGTTCTAGCTCTTTCCTTTCCCTTTTTTCTGTGCCACTCGGCTCGTCGGGTATTCTTCATCTTCTCCCTCAGTATTGTACGAAGTTCTTCCAGAGGGTGGCGATCCTCACTGTTCGCTTTCCTGGAAGCGTTTTTGAGGGATCTTAGCTCCTTTCTGAGCTCTTTAATTTTCTTTTCTCTTCGGTTAGTGGTGGTGTTTGGCTTTGCTATCTGTTTAGATTCGACATAGCCAAATCTTTCGAATCCCTTGCTGGTTATTATTGTAGTCATATATTTTAACTGATTTTGGGCGCTTCCTTGGCTGGCTAGTTGCAATAGTTCGCAAATGTCTTTATCGAATTCTGCCAGGCCTCCTTGTTGTCAGCAGGCGGCCATTTGATTCTTCTCCTCGACTCCATGCCCAGAGAAGATGAAACCTGAGCTTGGAGGGATTGGACTCTGTGGTGCGACTCCTGGTCCTTCCTCTCCTTCGTTTTATCAGGGCTTGTACCTGTACGTTGCTCAAGCCTCCCCCTCTCCAGGCATTTCATCCGGCCTTGGTGGATTCTTAGGCCTCGTTGGTTTTTGCACAACTTTCCACAAATGCATTCTTTCGAGTGTGGTTGGGCGTCTCCCTTCGTTGTCAAAGAATCAGTCCTGATAGAGATCTCTTCCACACCCCTCTCGGGATCTCTCGGGGGTACATAATGCCTCATCTCAGAAATATAGACAGATACTGAAAGGCCAAAACGTTGTAATAAATATGGCGACAAAGATGAGAACAGTAGTCCGAATAATGTAAATAGTGTACATAATACCTCATCTCAGAAATATAGACAGATACTGAAAGGCCGAAACGTTGTAATAAATATGGTGAGAAAGATTAGTACAATGGTCCGAATGATGTAAATAGTGTACATAATACCTCATCTCAGAAATATAGACAGTTTCAGAATCACTTCACCCAGAGTGGGTCGTCTTCAAGATCAAGGTATGTCGGACATGACAAAATCACCATTGTTAAAATTTTTAAAACAACATCTGACATGTAAGAACTTTCACTACACAAATGTTCCCAAATGTCTGTATAGCGGCACTACTCTTTTGGAATTAATACAGGAATCAAATGTTTTTATTTTTGAAGCTATAATCCTTCACGAGATTGATGCCCTATAATCTACAAACAGATGCAAACCTCAAGGATCGTAACACGTTGTGCTTTCTCGGTCTAACATTCTCTACGGACATGAAGTGGAATAATTATATTGAAGCAGTTGCTAGTTCTACTGCTAGGAAATTTGGTCTAATGTATCGTGTTAGACAGTTTTTCTCTCCATAAGTTATTGTTATACGTTATTTATATAGACACAAATATTTAAGTAAATGCTCTGTTTATAATAAACAGTATTAACAACATTTATCGGCCTGAATGTCCGAGAAATTTTCATAAAATATGTGTCCTCCGACAGGAATAGAACTTGTATCCTACACGGAACCGTCAAATAGCCTGACGTGCTATCACATTTAGCTACAGAGGAAGCTTCTGCTTAGCAAAGCCGAATTACTGCTTTTAAACTACAAATTTCCCATGATGTCTCTCGAATGCTGATATCTGCTCCAAACGTAACTTAACTTAAAGAAATGACGCCATATATTATGAAATGGACTAAGTCCGATAATTATTTAAATATATTTATTGTTTATGCGTTATTTTTATAGATAAAATATTTAAGTAAATACTTTGTTTATAATAAACAACAGTTACCGGCCTGAATGTCCAAGAAATTTTCATAGAATATATGTGTCCTCCTGACGTGCTATACCAAATAAGAGAGCATAATTTTCGCACAACAATTCTCTCTTAAATCAGATTATTTGTTAAACATTGAAATACATTTTTTTATCATTTCACCCCAAGCAAGACGATAACGACACTAAGATGCAATATGTGATTGAGAATGAAGGAAAAGGGGGAAGAAAAAACAATAAAAGAACAGGATTCAAGAAGACAGAAGATGGCGATTGGTGTTGCATTTAAATCTTTCAAGAACATAACATGAACGCAAGAAGCTGGAAGATAGCTTTGCAAGCGAGAGGTTCAAGACAATAAACTGATAGAATAGAATTTACGGTTTCATCTCGCAGTTTCAACACAAAAATTATGAGACCTAATGGACAATCTAGTACCGCGCTTAAATTCGTGCGGTCGAGATATCAAAGAGGAAAGCTCATCAGAACAATTTCCATAGAAATATTTATAGACGAAGTGTAGGGAAAATACGTTACGGTAGTGGGAAAGAGACAAGCCGATATGCCAGGTCAGGGCCGATAACATTGCAGATTATTTGGATTTTATCAAGAATCTCTAAATACATAAAAGAAGCACCAGATCAGATGTGACAGCAATCATTTAATGAATGTATGAATAGTACACAACTAGATGTGTAAGATAGGTTCTCGTAAAAAAACATCGTCTTGTACAACACAAGGAAGCAATTTTCCTAGCAGCATACTGGGCAATTGTTTCATTATAATCTTTCCACTCTATATCAACAAAAATCGTTTGCTCGAGAAGGTTCAATTTTAGGTACTTCATGGAAGCGATCATATTACCACCTTCTTTAGGGATGATATTATATACGAGTTCCATTTGAGGCCTTGTGTGAGCTTGAATCCCAATAGACGTTCAAGATCACACACAAATAAATATTTATTCCTTAATTTACTTTTACTTTAATGCTGAATCGCTAATTTTATGTTTATCATGTATTTTCCACGCATTTTCTTTTATTAATAATTATTTTTAGGGGTCATGCCAACAAGCCAGGTTTTGAGAAAGGTGTCTCTGCCTATAATGAGTTACCGTGATTGTCACCGAGTTTGGCCTCATATTGGCCATGAACATATCTGTGCTGGTGACTGGATCAATGGAGGAGCTAGCCCGTGCCAGGTAAGGTTTAGGAACTGCTATTTTACTTTTGCTTGTAGAAATTTTAATTTTGATTGATTGACCCGGTTTTTACGGCTTATTAACCCTTTGCAAGTTTTTTTCACGCCACAAAATATTTTTAGATTGTAACAATTCTTTTTGAAGTGGGGGAAGATAATAATGATTTAGTGATACAAGTTTTATTATTTAACCCATAGCTGGAGAGAGAAGAAGTGAATTCATAGCTTTTCCAGAGGTATTTGTGCGTAAGTAAATATAACGAACCAAACTGGAATTGGAACTCAGCTCTCCGAGTTTCAGCACGAAGCCGTTATCCATTGCACCACCCGCATATCCAAGCTTACAGTATCTGGTATCTCCAAGCTGTCACCTCTCTAGCTACTGAACAAATTCAACTTTGCTTAACTTCGGCGATCTGTTATGTAGTATCAACCCATTTGTATGAATGTTGTAGAACTTTCCCACAGATGAAGAGAAAATTGGAGGCAACAGAAATACTGATCTACAGAAGGATACTGAGAATTGCATTAACGGAACAAGTTAGATATATATTTAACAATACAGATAGTACCAATATATAACTCAACAAATCAAAGCCTACTCACATTTCCCACCCACACAAAACCGACATGCTTACGGAGATGTGGAGGCCTCACACTTATACACTCACCCACACGAATATACACACTTACACACATCATACTCACTCACTCCCTAATGAGCCAAATGATACACACCCACAGCAATACACACGCTTACACATATCATACTCACTCACTCCCTAAGAACCAAATGACACAGACACAAACACTAAACAGAGACACATCCCCTCACCAGGTCCAATAAAACAGTCAAACTGACCAGAGAATTCAGAGCAACATGTATCTATCCAGCTCTTATCTCAAATAACAACTTAAAAGAGACTGTTTGACCAACACAAGGAATGTTAAAAGATTCATGTTAAAAAGATAAAAAAATTAAAAAAAAACAAATGAAAACAACAGACAAAAGTTCATTTTCTCCAGCAAGACATTCAATTCTGTAGTTTACTGCTACCAGCAAGCAGAAATATTTCTCCTCCCGATGATGGCCATTTCGGTCGAAACTAGTCGAGGAATCTAAATGAAATAATAAAAAAAAAAAACGAAAGAATATTAATCTACAACCCAGTGTGTCTAAAGATTTTAAGTTTTTAATATTTTTTTATTGTTCAATATATATATATATATATATATATATATATATATATATATATATATATATCCTTGCTTGTTGAAAAGTCAACTATGCTTATAAACAAAAACTAAAAATTCTTGAAGCTATATACATAAAACAGTTGAAACCTAACTTGAACAAAATAAACTATGAAATCTCCACAAACATTCTTATATGCGTATAATTGATAACAGAAGCCATTGGTTGAAACCAACGGCTTCCCATAATTAATACTTCTAGTTTTCACTCTCGGGTGGTCATGTGTGACGTCACGAGTTGCGACGCGATTTTCGCTTCCGCGTCTCGTATACACGAGTTAGTCGTTGCTTTCAAATTTTTCATGCAACAAAAACAGACTATCATTATTTTTCCGTGTATTGGTTGATATATTGAAAAGTAATTGCCATCTTTGATAATGGCTTATGTAAGCCGAAAGCTTAGATTGGATTTAAACATGTATCAATATGTTGATTTCCTTTCGTCCTTCAATGATAATGTTATTAAGCTTATCAGACAATATGAAAGGAACTTACTTAAAAATAAGTAGACAAAACTTGTCTATATTATTTAATGAAACATACATCAATGAAAAATAACTGCCTAAATATACATAATATATATATATATATATATATATATATATATATATATATATATGCGGGTCCTTAGTGGAAAGCGCTCAATATCAATGATAGAGCTATAGAGCTAACATAATAAGTTGTACAGATATGAGTTTGTGACCCTGGATTTTAAGATTTTGCGATCATCAGACAAACCGATCTCAAAAGCGTGAAACCTAGGGTCTCAAACCGATATCCACACAACTTATTACACACACACACACACACACACACACACACACACACACACACACACACACACACACATATATATATATATATATATATATATATTTCTTCCTCACAGCTTGATACACCACTGACGTCCGAGCAGGTGGCACTTACCAGGCATAAAATTCGGTGTTATACTAAACTTATTTATAGTTGTTATTATACAAAGTATGCTTGAGAGAAATATAAAATTAACCCCTCCCTATACTCTACCATACTCTCTGTTAAATTACAAAAACTTACACTACCCATCAATTTTAATTTCATTTTTCGTTTCATTTCATTTTTGGGAGTGCTATCTGATGATCCGGCGTCCAATAAAAGGACTCTGGTGAAATAAATTATTATAATGGTATCTTAAAGTGGTCTGTTTTTTTTTTAAATATTAGCTCTGGATTTACATTGAGCTCTCAGGTTTCATCCTTCTTGGGATTACCCATACGAATTACCAAGTTCTTCATAACTTATATATATATATATATATATATATATATATATATATATATATATATATGTGTATGGTGTGACGATTCTCTATCCTTATTATAATCTTTAACGAAATTTTATATTTTAGTCATCTATTCATATGTCTTATATATTCATATCTTCTGTTTCGCAGGGTGATTCCGGCGGCCCCCTTTATTGCAAATCCCGGGGTAAATGGGTTCTGGCTGGTCTCACATCTTTTGGAATAAAATGTGAATATGGTCCAGCGCTCTACACAAACGTCGCCTACTTTAGAAGTTGGATTGACAGACACCATTAAGTATTACCTCAAGTGTCCTTCGCAAAAAATAAAGTCAGTTATTCAATAGTACGAGTTCTGTATCTTTCTTTTTTTTCTTGCATATCCAAGTCCGTTTATTTATGTCAGTTATATTCAAAGCCAGATTATGCGTGTTAATGAAACTGTTTTGAACAATCAACAAGTGAGGGAACTGTTTTAATAATCAGTGTAATAATTCGTATTTCTGGTTCTTGTTAAAAAGGTCTTAAATGAATACACACACATACACACACACACACACACAAACACACACACACACACACACACACACACACATATATATATATATATATATATATATATATATATATATATATCCTGACGTGCAGTGACATTTAGGTACAGAAAGGTTTCTGGTTTCTAGTTCGAATTACTATTTACAAATACACAATCCTCGACGATTTTTCTCGATTGATTTGTCTACGAAAAAAATCGTAAACAACGACAACATTTGAAATGGATGATGCCCGACAATTATTTAATATATTTTCTGTTTATACTATTTTTATAGATACAGTTTATATAAGGAAATTATCTATTTTCAATGAAACGGTATTAATTACATTTACCGGCTTGAATTTTCGAGAAATTCCGTAGAAAATATGCGTTCTCCGAACATTCATACAGGTAAATACATTTAATACTGTTGAATGAGACAGCACGTTAAGTCAAATGACGGCTTTCATATAGTAACAGAGATTTGATTCTTGTCGTAGAATACATATTTTCTACGAAATATATATATATTGAAAAAGAATTTTGCTCTGGATTTACATTTACGAAATATATATATATATATATATATATATATGTATTTACATTTACGAAATATATATATATTGAAAATATATCTATCTATCTATCTATCTATATATATATATATATATATATATATATATATATATATTTTCGATGAGCATATCAATTCCTATAATAAGGCTCTAAAAGATAGTGGCTACAAAAACTCAAAACTAACTTATATAAAAAATGAAAATGGAAAGCATAGAAAAAATAGATGTAGAAAAATTATTTGGTATACTCCCCCATACAACCAAAAGGTAAAGAACAAATTAGGACATAAATTCCTCGCATTAATAGTCAAGCATTTTCCTAGTGAAAGTAAACTAAGTACTATTTTCAATAAAACACACTAAAATTGCGTTATAGCTGTACAGAAAACTTAGAAAAAATCATTTAGAATCATAATGCTAATATCTTAAATAAACACTTATACCAAAACCCCAAAAAATTTAGACAATGGAAAAATAAAGATAAAAACTGATGGAATTAAACAAAAACTATGTAATTGTAGAAACCCTCATAATTGCCCTCTACAAAATAAATGTCGCACTGAATCATTAGTATACCAATGCAATATCTCTTCGATTGAAAGTCCTGAAAACATAAAAATATATATAGGTTGCACTAGCCATGAATTCAAAAAAGATTCAACCAACATCAAACTTCATTTAGAATAAATAAATATAAAAATCAGACATCTCTCTCAAAATACTTCTGGCATCTAAAAGAATCAAATAAAACACCTACAGTAAAATGGAAGTTTATAAGAAAAGCTAGAAAATGTAGGTCATTAAACGATCCATGTCCTTTGTGCATACACGAGAAAGTATATATTACTAAGTTTATAAAAAATAAAAATTTACTGAATCAGAGAAATGAAGTAGCTATTATATGCCGTCATTGTCAAAAATATTCCTTAAATAATATTTAAAAATTTAAAAATAAAAATAATTTTTTAAAAAAGGGACAATCAGGTAGTATACATACTTATATTTAACATGAAAAATAATTTTATATACTGTAACTAATTATATTACATTTACTTGTTTTTTCTTTATAAAAAAAAAAGATCTATTGGAATAACAGTGAAAATATTTTAAAGTTGTATTTAAAATTGTAGTTAAAACGAATTCTAACCTAAGCATCTTTTAAAAATTGCAGTTAAATAAAATGTATGCTAACCTAAACATCTCTAAAAAAAGTACTACCATCACTTAAATGAATCCATTAAAACACCTACTGAAAAATGAAATTATAACGAAAAGCTAGATGATGTAGGCCTGTGAACGACCCATGTCCTTTGTACATACATATGAAACTTTATTACTTAGTTTATATATATTTAAAATAAATAAATTAATTAATTAAAAAATAAAGTTTACTAAATCTAAGAAATGAATTAGCTATTTTTCCAGTAAGTGCCATAAATATCACTTAAATAATATTTAAATATAAAAGTTTAAAAATCGTAATATACATATACTTTGATATGGAAAAATAATTTTACTTACTATAAGTAATTCTAATACTTTTCCTTCTGTTATAAAGTAATATAGTCTATTAAAACTAACAATGAAAATATTTTAAAGTTGTAATTAAAATTGTAGTTAAATAAAATGAATTCTAACCTAAACTTCTTTTACTTAGTACTACACGCACTTAAAAGAATCCAATAAAACACCTACAGTAAAATAAAATTAATCTGAAATACCAGAAGATGTAAGCTTTTGAATGACCCATGTCCTTTGTACTTACATGAGAAAAAATATATTAGTAGGTTTATATATATAAAAAATAAAAGTTTACTAAATCAGTGAAATTAAGTAACTATTTTTGCCGTCATTGTCATAAATTTTACTTTAAAAAAAAATGTACCCTAATATACATTGTCGCGGTCGCCGATTAGCCGCTCCTTAGAAAGCCGCCCTTGACCTTCACAACTCCTGATCTCGCAGATCTAGGTCAAGCAACATGCGAGAAACCGAACGGCTAGTCCAATATCGCTTATGCCAAACCATACCTCGTGTGCATCTCGTGTGCAGAGACATTCCAAACACCAGCAACCATTGATAGTAATTTATTATCTACAGTCTTCTACTCCCTCTAGCCAGGGGGCACTTGAACAAATCTTTCCAAATATTCTTAGCCACTTTTGTCGCCCAAATCCCTGGCTCAAAGTGTAGTACGCTGCCTTTGTGAACTTCCGGTGCTTTTGTCGAGAGCGCTACTCTTCGGCGCGATCCCGTCTCCACGGTCGATCCGCCCTGGAAGGTGTAACACCTCTCTGACCTGCTTCGCCTAGTGATACACTCTGGCGTGATCCCGTTTCCGCGGTCGATCCGCCCTGTGGAGTCGTGTCACTGTGCTGCCTTGGCCCTGTTTAGGGACTCCGTCTTCGCCTGGTGATACACTTTGGCGCGATCCCGTTTCCGCGGTTGATCCGCCCTGTAGAGTCGTGTCACTGTGCTGCCTTGGCCCTGTTTAGGGACTCCATCTTCGCCCGGTGATACACTTTGGCGCGATCCCGTTTCCGCGGTCGATCCGCCCTGTGGAGTCGTGTCACTGTACTGCCTTGGCCCTGTTTAGGGACTCCGTCTTCGCTATTCGACGAACCAGCTACGTTCGCCGACCAACCCTAAACTACCAGGCCAGATCAACCCTAAACTACCAGGCCAGATCAACCCTAAACTACCGGACCAGATCAACTATATTCGACCGAACCAGTTACGGTGGCCGACCAACCCTAAACTACCAGGCCAGACCAACTTTAAACTACCGGACCAGATCAACTATATTCGACCGAACCAGCTACGGTGGCCGACCAACCCTAAACTACTGGACCAGACCAGCTACATTCGACCGCACCAGCTACGTTCGCCAACCAACCCTAAACTACCGGACCAGACCAACTACATTCGACCGAACCAGCTACGTTCGCCGACCAATTCTAAACTACCGGACCAGATCAACTATATTCGACCGAACCAGCTACTTTCGCCGATCAACCAGTCATACCGGACCCGACACCTTGTAAAACTGTTAATAAATTCGACACTTTTGTTCATAACAAAAACCTTTGTCCCGTCATTGTCTTGGCTGTACACATTTATCTACATAAAAAACCTTGCGGGGGCGACATCCTACTCGGCCCCGCAACAACATACTTATACTTGATGTAAAAATAATCCTACATAATATAAGGGATTCTAATACATTTAACTGTTCATAAAAAAATATACATATATAGTATAATAAAAATTAAAAAGAGAGTATTTCAAATCGTAGTTAAATAAAAAGTATTCTAATCTGAACACCCCCGAAAATCTTTAAATTTACAAATATAAAAAAAATGCCGTAAAAATTTTTTTTGCCGTTAACAATAAATTTTTAAAAAATCCAGACGACATGCATTCAACGGATGTCAGTTTTCATCGAAAAATACATCCCTACCCTTTACCAAAATGTAGCTAATAACCGGTACAATGATACAGACATAAGGAAAACCCAGACACCCCTTGTCCAGTTGAAGTAGATTTATCTGTAACCATGGAAACGTGATTTTAGCTGTGTCTTTAAAACCCAGTAATTTTAAAAGTTACTCCAAAATTCGCTTGAGAATGAAATAGAAGTAATGTCTTTAACTTAATTGCAAAATTAAATTCGTGGCCTTTAGCTTCCATTTTTGAAACATGGTTAGAACTGTTTACCGAAAAAAAAATATTTTAAATCAATTAATTTATAATATATATATATATATAGCGTAATGAGAAGCCACGTATACTTTCTTAATTAAAATTACGAAGGTAGAGAGTACAACACGTAATTTTAATTTATTTGTAACGAACAGTTATTTCTGATGAAAGATTGAGGATAATTTGAAATATCTAATATATATATAAATAAATAAATACTTTCATAAAATAAAACATTATTTTTTAATTTGCAACTTTTTCTATATATATATATATATATATATATATATATATATATTGAAAAAATAATTTTTACTCTGGATTTACATTGAGCTCTGTGGATTTTATCCTCTTTGGGTTTACCCAATACGGATTACCTAGTTTTTCAAAACTATATATATATATATATATATATATATATATTGAAATGCATAAACTATATATATATATATATATATATATATATATATATATATATATATATAT